TGTCCCCCGCCCCTCCACTTCAACACCCACATCCTTTCTCAGTTTAAAGCTAGTGCTGCTGACTGCAGCTGTGGTCGACAATCCTAGTAACTTCACTCACTCTCACACTAATCTTCTCACTTACACAGTCTTGGACATTATTATGAGAAATGCTAAGAGGACTCTCTCAAATTGAAACTCTTTATAGACTCTTTGTGACCTCACAATTTGACATCAATTTTCGTGTCAATATTATGAATCATTGTACAAAAAATATGAAGTGACAGACAGTCCATGGAAAATCTCACTTTTAAAGATGTGTGAAAAGTAAAAAAGGTTATATGAATATCACACTCCTTTTTCTATTATCTTCCTTTCTTTCTCATCTTGTCACTCCCCGGTATCTTATATTTTATGTTTTTTTTTTTAGTTTGAACGCCATTTTTTATATAATAATTGTCTCTATCTAACATATAAAAACAAAATCGGCATGCAGAAAATTGGAATCTTACACTTTTTTTAGGGTTAATCACTTAGAAGCAAAGGGTCTTATAATTCTGTCATCATGTTGCCAAATCCATCATTAATTAATTAATTCTGACTAGTTAGCTATGTCACATAAACTTTACGTCTATAATTTAATAGTACAAAGTTATAGCAACCACGAATTTTAAAAACTTTTAGACTTTTAAATTGTGGGAGTTTGTTGTTGCGGCTGAGAGGGTGAACTAAAGTATTCAAGCTTACTATGCATCAAGAAGTCTCAGAGAGGATTAAGTTTTTTATTAGTACTGGTTTTTTAACACTTCCTATAGTGAATATGGTTGGCTTTTTCTGGTTTACTGATTTTTTAAGAAGAGAAACCATACTCAATCTAAGGTTAGTATTTTCATTGTAATTTGTGATATGAAGCAGAATAAACATTTGAAAGAATTATGGGAAATTCCAGAATGGTGGAGTACATATATTTTTTTAAGTTGCAATATTGCAGAACAGTTCTAAACTGGTGGCCGCCCTGTGTCTGCATGGTATGTCTCGATTTATCAATATTATATGCATTTTCACATAATTGTGTTTGTGCACTGAATCAGAGGAAAGAAAATATTTTTGATTGGTCTCGGCATTCTTTAATTTAAACATTTTCTGCCTGCACTTCTACTTCCTTTTTTGGCCTTTTGAATTGAATAAACTAACAAAAAATTAAGGGACAAAAAAAAAAGTTTCAAAAGAGATAGGTGCGGAAATCATCTCTCTTGATTTTCCCGGTTTGTATGTTTTCCAACAAATGCTTGCAGGGTGTTAGGTTACCGATGAATTGTAGTGGATTAGCTAGGACTTAATTTCATTATCTTTTTCAATTAGAAGAAAAGAAAATTCATATATAGGACATCAAGATAAGGAAGAAAGAAAAGGAACATACTTCATAATTTTTTTATAGGAGCACATAAAACAACTCCTCTATACTCACATAATGATCCCTCTACTAATTTTGTACAAACGTAGATAAGTTTACAAATCAGACCAGTTAATCAGCAACGCTCAACGTAAGTTTCCAGTAGGGATCGAGGAACACCATCCAACAAGCAAGAGACTGGTGGAATTGTTAGCGTCTGCAGCTCTCCATAAGCATTCCAACAATACGGGTCGGATACCATATCTCCTACCGCAGGAAGAAGCTCAACTTCTGAGAGTGTCAAGTTAGTGCATGGGAGAGCATCACTGCAGGCAAAATGTATTGGTGCACTCCGAACGTCATAAGTCCCCTTTATGTTTGAATAGAGTATGTCCGATACGAACACTGCTGAAGTTTGGTTTGTGCACCCTTTGGTAAGGCAATAGTATTGGTCAATCATAATAGGGTTTCTAACATTATCCATGTGAATATTACTGAATGTTACTGCAGATACCGATCCAGACCCGCCCTGCCATGTCTTGATCCTAACTCCATTATCCGTCCCTTTGATTATCGAGTCCCTAACTGTAATGTTAGAGACGCATGCCCGCGAATTGTGATTTCCGAGACTCCCAATGCTGATTCCATGACCAGGTCCACAAGTGATGTTCCGTATGTCTACATCATAGCAGCCTGATCCAATTGATATACAATCATCACCTGCACAACACAAGAGAGGTTTTAATAACAAACAGGTAAAATTGAGGGAAAAAATAGAAGAGTTGGAAGTAGTTTAAGGCTAACCATTAGAAATGACTGAGTTATAAATTTGGACATCATTTGTGTTCTCTATGTGAATCCCATCTGTATTCGGACTTTTTGCAGGGGCGGATATAGAAATGGATTCTATATGCACATTCTTACAATTATCAAATCTAAAGTGGAATTGGGGACTATTCTTAATTCTAAGTCCTTGAACTGTCAAGTTTGAGCTCATGAAGAACCTCAGGGCCTGCATTATTCAAATTCATGTCATTCAAGCTCATTACTAAACATATATAGATGATTACGTATAAAAAGCAATGGTTTTAACTTACAATTGGGCTATCACATGGTCCTGGCAATGTGGTTCCATTTATCCCCTGTGCCATTAAATTTTCATAGGATCAGAAATTGCTTGAATCACAACACCACCCCCCACAAAACCACCAATATATATATATATATATATATATATATATATAATATCAGACAGGATTTGAACAATTTAGAAAGAAAAAAAAAATACCCTATGGGGTTTGCAGGGAAGATTCCACCATTTCTGTCCTCTCCCATCAATTACACCGCCGCCTTGCAGCGACATCTCGTTGACTCGGTAAAAGACCAGCCATTGGTGCCTGCTGATGTTCTTTGGCCAGGACTCTGGTCCATCAGGTGGCACTAGAGTTCCATCAACCTTCTCAGTACCAAATATACACAAAACCAACAAAAAAATATTTAGTACTTCATCAACTAATCGGCCTAAAGTCCTAAAATAAAGTAAAGGTTAATCCAAACAAAGGCCTAGAATTAGTACATGACCTGTAACACCAAGCCCGCAAGGCAGGGACCAGTGAATATTGTAGATTGTATCATGAACGAGAAACCTTGGGGAACAAGGATCCTTGCGGCAGATTCATCACTTTGGCAGGCTGTGTCCCATGCCATCTTAAACGCCGCGGTGTCATCAGTTTGGCCATCTCCTACAGCACCAAATGATCTTACATCGAAAACATCAGAGGAATGGCCCGGATTGGTAGGCGGCTCTTCGGGAGGACTAGCCGGCTCAGGTGCAGAGGAAGGAGGTTGTGAAATGTGGGATTGCTTGTGAGAGTGCTTGTGTTTTGTATGGTTATGCCATCTGGCTTGGGTGGACACTAATAAGAAGCAAAAGAATGAAATGCAGAAAACATGCAGGTGACAACTTGCAATTCTTCATGTTGGGTTGCTCAGTTTAAATTGTTCTATAAATAACAGAGAAAAGTTCTACTTTTCACTTGAAATATCTGGATGAAATTCAAGAAATTTATGGGTTAATTTGTCACTGTCATGAGATAAATGTGAGAACAAATTGCAACCTATATTTTGGGAAGTAGAAACTAGTGGGACAAGAAGAGAGCAAGTTGCACAAGGTGAGAAGTTGAGCTTATTGGGTTTTACAATTCATGCAGAATATATATATGCAGAAAGGCTGATGAGTCTCAATATATAATAGTTACTAGTAAGTGTTGTTAGGGTTAGTGGAAGGTCAGTCTAACTTTTAGTTCTCTCTCTTCCTCTTGTTTAATTTAGTACTTTAATGGGGCGGGAAAAGGAAGCCGACCAATCCCATTCAGGCATTGGCCTTCTCTTTTTAATTTATTTAACTGTTATTATTTGTTGTTGGTTTGGAAAAAGGTGGCGAAATAACAAGATTCATTGAAATGGGTGGGAAAATCCATAAGCCCCCACCATGTTCTTCCCATAACTGTCACTTTCTTTGGTCTCAAATGTAGTACGATTCGATCTAACCCTAGTTTCCTCCTTCAGTTTTTTTAACAAAGTTTTTAGTTTTAAAAGTGAAAATATAAACTAAAACTGAAAGAAAAAAAAATGATTAATGATTTATATCCCACTATCTCAATGTTAAGGTACTTCCAATTACATCCCACTTGACATCTTTAGGAGTAAGCATCATGTACGGGTGCCAAACCGCAAACACACACGCATGATGCAGTCCCTTTCGGTTTTCCAAGTGCAATTGGGAATGAGGTCTGACTTCGGCCGAAACGGATTCCAGATCCAGTTTATCTCGCTCTCGAGTTGGGCAGCCCACCATTAGCTATACATCTCCAATTTTTATATACATATGTACGTGAGTGGTATATCTGACCTCGCCGACCGCACTGATGTCACACACTCTCTCTCTCTCTCTCTCAGCGCCAGGGATTCTCAGTTGCCTGCTGCTTCTTCAAACCGGTCCAACCCTCCATCTTCTAAATTTCTGCCTGAAATCATGAAATGATTAGGTCGGCTCAACTGCGTATGGCTTATTTTTTAACTCTGTGGGGCGGTGGATAATACACTACGCTATCCATTTGTGATACTTAAAAATATAGCATTACCTTATGCCTTGTATGAATGTGCAAAGGTTGTAAATGTTATAATTGGCACTTGTACTTTCTTTCAACCATTACAATCCGTAGTAGGATTAGCTTTAGGCTGTGGCATTTCAACTTTCAAGTGGAGTATTTCACCCAAGTGCCCCACTTATTGGGAGAAAGATGCCTCTGTTGGCCTCTTATGGATTGCTTGCCAGTTTTATTAGGGCTAGGAATGTTAACTAATAGGGTTGGTGGACAGAACATAGGAGATACTTTTAACGATCAACTCAATTTCTGATACAAAACCTTCTTGCCAATGTTTTCACTTCAACCCACAAACTGCTTTCCACCGCCATTTTTCAGTAACAAAGATAAAAACAAAGCCTATCGCGATTGTTACTCTGTCGATAGACTCGATATCCACCTCATTTCTAACGGCTAAGGCCGAAAGAGCGCTTCAACCCCAGCTGAATGCGATCGCGGATCGGCCTGTGCGACCTAAAAGATACAAAAACGAGTAATTTAGTACTTCCTCCTCACAAACAATATCTAACAGAAACCAATCAGGTGTGAGAAGATCTGGTTACAATCTATAAATAGAAAGAAGAAAATCAAGGGTGTGCAAACCCATTTAGATTTGAGGCGCATAATAAGCAGAATAAACTTCTTAATCTACTTTCTTTTACATACAAGGCTTAATCGGATTAATATAAAGACAGATAAAGGGACCAAAGAAGAAGGGATTAAAACAAAAAAAACAAATATTACAGCTTCACTTCGACGATCGCATATAGATGGGTCAGAAGCTACGGTTCTACAGCATCCCACTTTTTTTCTGTGCAGATCAGACATCAACTACAAAGAACGGTCACGACCCAAGGAAGGCGCACTGTTTTCTTGCGTGCTCCGGGATCAGCTTAACAAGCATTTCTGCAGGCACTCCCTTCAGTTCTAATCAAAGTGGGATCATTAAAAAGAATTACCAGTTAGGATTAGACTGCCCAAAGAATAAAATGACAGTGATGAAAGTACAGTACAAAAAAGAAACAACGTTATTACCATGAGCCTTAAAGTTGAACAAAGGGGGAAGGAAGCGTCCATTTGGCAAGCGGGTGTTAGGATCACGCAACTCGTCAAAGAAGGGATGAGCTAAGGCCTCCAACTGCATTGAAAACATAGCGCTTTACATTAAAACTTGTGACGGGGTAACAACAAGCTAAGCTCAAGTAGAAAGATTAAATCGGATGCGGATCACAAAAACTGTACAAGGCATATGTCATACGTGGGATGCATTATAATTAAGGTCAGACCCCAGCAACACATCCACAATGGGACAGAAGAAAGAAGTATCAAATGGACTCCACATGTGCTTGCACATGCAACAAAAATATCAACGAATATTTCTTAGGATGGGGACAACAAAACCTAAACAGCTTAGCATTCGTACGCCTAAAGTGATCTTTTGTTTTTTGGAATAAACAGAGGCCCCTAGTGATTATAGGATGAATGCAAAGACAACATGAAAGAGGAACACTGATAATGGATCACATCAGAAATACTCACAGCTGTACTTCGAAGGTTTGGAGAGTACTGCAGCAGCCTTGATACGAGATCCACAGCTTCTGGGGGCATGCGCTTGTGAAATATCTGATAATCAATGATGTATAAAAGGACATTAACATCCAATTTCTTTGACAGGAAATAAACAACAAGTAATATCCCAAGTACCTTGTGCCACGGGTGAGCTTTAATTTGGGGAAACTTAAACTCAGTGTAGTTAGGGTTCATGCATTTTATTTCCTCCCTCGTTGGGGTACCTAAAACCTGCATGAGAATTGAATAAGTTATTAATGAGAACTATTACCATTAACCCAACAGCTTAACCTTTAAAAGAAAAAAAGATAATCGAAGGTCGCAATCACCTTGATGATTTGAACAAGCTGGTCTACTCCACTTTCTCCGGGAAACAGGGGCTGCAGAAATAGATATTACTTAATTAGCACATGTATCAAAGCCTAAAGATGAAAGAAATTAACTCACTGAAGAATAATAACTACCTGTCCAAGCAGAAGTTCAGCTAGAACACAGCCAGCAGACCAGATGTCAATGGCTGTTGTGTATTCGGTTGCACCAAATATAAGTTCAGGTGCTCGATAGTACCTAGAACAGATGTAAGATATGTTGGGTTCCCCTTTTACCTGTCAAATGTACAAACAACTCAGTATTGCAAAATCATTAGCCAAAGAAAAAGGGAACGTGTCTAGAGAATGCCAGGATGCAGAAAACAAACCAAAACTTTCGCACTCCCAAAGTCACAGATTTTAAGCTGGTGAGTATGGGGATTGACCTGTTAGAATGGGGATAGACGATGAATTAGCCTATTCACACACAACTAGAACCAAAATACAGAACAGAGCAAATTCCAACATACCAACAAATTTTGCGGCTTGATGTCCCTGTGGCACACTCCAATAGTATTATGAATGTAAGCAAGAGCTCTACAAATCTGTAAGAAGATACAAAGAATTAGATGATCCAATAACTACCGAGTCATATATATTATTCTCCGAAAAATTGCAAAAAATAATTAGAACATCACGCAGAGTTTCCTCAAACAACATGTATGTAGTGTGGTTCAACAAAATGACATGAAAAACACACCTCATCTAAAGGAATCAAAAGCAATGCTCTACAATTCAAATGATATATATGGAAAGGAACAATTTAGTAGTAAAAAAAAATACCTGGTAAAAGTAAAGTTTAACATAAATATGGGGCATCCTCTGGTTCATCTTACTATAGTGCTTGATCACCCTATGGGCCGTCTCGGGGACATACTCAAGTACGAGGTTAAGGTATAGCTCATCTTTTTCAGTTGTCGAAAAGAAACAATGTCTAAGAGACACAATGTTTGGGTGGTCTAGAAGACGCATGGTTTGCAACTCCCGGTTCTTGTACCTCTTGTCTTGAAGAACCTTTTTAATAGCAACAGTTTCACCAGTTTCTAAGCACTTGGCCTGGATAAATAATAAATCAAAATATCATTCAGCTAGCCGCAAATAGTTTATTAAGAATAAGCACATCAAAAGCCCGAAAAGGAAAAAAAAAAAAAAAAAAAAAAAAGCAAAACGAAAAATTACCTGGAAAACCAATCCGAAAGATCCATGTCCAACAACGCGCTCAGCCATATAGCTTATTGTCTAGAGTTATTAAAAGCAAAATCATATCACCATCTATTTGAAACGCCTGAAAGTTGAAACTACACAATGCAGCTGCAGGAAAGGAAGAGAAAGCATTTCAAAAGCTCACCTGTTTTGGCTGGCCGTTCTTTCCACCAATAGTTGTGACAATAATATGACCCGCCTCCGTTCCATTACCATCAACAACAGTTGCCCCCATTTCCTGTAAATGGAAAACGAAAACATATTACAGATTTCACAAACAAAAGGAGCTTGCGTAAAATAATAAAGCTTGAGTACAAGTCATAAGAAGACGTCGCATAGTTTACCTTGTCATCCCTAATTTTCATGTCATTCATCTCATTTGGCAAATTATCGACACCGACTGCATTTCCACCGGGCTCTCTTAGACCGGAAGCAGGAACCACACTTACGGAAGCCATGATCTCAGACGAAAAGAACTGAGAGAATCGCCTTCTGGATTCCCCTTCTCAGCTCACTAAAATAAATCAATAACTTTCCTGCTAAAAATACACCCACGTATCAAGCATTTACCCAAAATGCAGTAAAGTATTACGCGCAACATAGGTAAAAATCTGCGTAGTTCTGCTCCTCTAATCCTCTATCGCGCACATTAGTGCCGTTAATTAAGATAAAAAATAAAAAACCTAAAGCAGTGGTCCTTGTATTAACTACATTCCTTATTTGGTGAATCTATGAACTGTAGTTTCAAGGATATTAGTTAATTAAACAAGAGTCGGAAATCAGAAGCCAAGGAATCCAAACCGAATTCGTTTCCAAACAAATCAACTCTTCAAAAAGTTCATAGTTTCACATTGGATTAAGCAATTCAATGAAATCAAATTAGAATCCGTACAAATTCAGCACACAAAAGAAGAAGATCGGAAATTGAAAAAGAAAAAAAAAAAAAAACTAAAATCAAAATTGAAAAAAGAAAAGGGATTTACCGATTGGCTGAGAAGTAGGCGGAGGTGAGGGGATCGGCGCGACGGAGACTGAGCCGGCGATTAGATGGCGATGTGAAATTCTGAAACTTTGATGTCAATCAATCACTCAATCTAACTATTGATATAATTGTACACACTGAGAAGGATAATTAAGAAGAAAAAAAAAAGAGATTTTGAGATTTGGAATTGGGAGACTTGAATGAAATGGATTTGGTCTGGTTTGGTGGAAGGAAGAGGGGGAGAGAGAGAGAGGCAGTCAAAGTCAAAGCACAAAGGAAGAGGAGAGCTCAAGCATTTATGTGTTTTTTAAAATTTAATATTAATCAACCAATTAATTATCAGTAATCAACTAATAATCTCTCTCTCTTTGCCTCGTTCTTCGTTCCTCAATCATCTCTTTCTTTTCAACTTTCAACCGCCTATCTCCTTTTTTGACCGGTCAAAACCCTCCCGGGGCCCCACCGCCACCTCCCACTTTCAGAATTTTGTCTTTATTCACAATTATATGGCAGTTGGAGACTTGGCTGCTCTCCCCTCCACATGCCTTTCTTTGTCCTTATTCATATTTTTCAACCCCAATTCTTATCCTGGGTTGCCTGGCCCAATAAATTAACTAAGCCCAGTCATATTTGGGCCAAATTTGACTCCTCAAACTTGGCACTTACGCTAACATATTCAATAACAAAAAATTGACTCAAAAAGAAAACATATTCAATCAAAATATAACCCCCAAGCATAACACATTTGTTTCACATATTATACATATGAAATTGGCATATGCTCTTTCATTTATAGAATCTGGTTTTCAGTTGTGCTAGAATGATTGTTTTTTCGAGTACATATGTACTCATTATACAACACTTTGTCTGAATGACATACTAGAAGGTCCAATTTGATGTCTCCAAAGATGTTTATCTATTAGTTATTCCTTTGTAGTGTTCTATTGTTCATGGACAATGCATATATACTCGTTATGCAACACTCGTCCTAACCAAATAATAGGAAGTCTAATAATGACGTTTATCTATTACTTATTTCCTTGTAGTGTTCTATTGTTCATGGACAATGCATATGTACTCATTGTGCAACACTCTGTTCGAACAAAACACTGGAAGTTCAATCTGATGTCTCCAAAGACGTTTATCTATTAGTTATTCTGTTGCAGTGTTCTATTGTTCATGGACAATGCTTGGTTAGGATGGAATATTTACTTCACTAATGGTTTTGGTTAGGATGGGAATATTTACTTCACTAATGGTTAAATTGATAGGGTGTGGAAAATGTAAAGTTTAACATGTTTTTCTCTAATTGCAATTTGAATTAAGTTATGTTGAGATAATTAATGGTCAATAGCTCGTTTGACAACTATTTCACAATTGTGTTAAGATAATTAATGAAAATACATGGAGAAAAATAAGACTGATTAAGACTAGATGAATGATGGTAGGAGAGATGCAGAAGAATTGTATAAGGAAGGAAACACAAAATGATAACTAAAAATAAAAAAAAACTATTTTAAGTTATTTTTACTTTTAAGATTTTGTTTTCATTCATTCATCGCTCATTCTTCTTATATAGTTATCTCATATCTTAAGTACAAAATGTAAAAACCGAATTGTAAAAATGAATCGTAAATTGTGTTTGATATCCAGTTGTAAAGAAACTGAAGCTATGAATGTGTTGCTTAATTAATTCTCACATAAATCAATTGATTGTTTTGTGACTGAGGCAACCAACCCTTAAACCATAAAGACTCATATAATGGCAGTGAAACTTTTAGGTTGTTGGTGGTCGACCCACCATTTGCATTCCATGCTTTCCAGCTGCCGGTATGTATCTAGAACCAATAACCCTAAAGAATAAGGACCATACATTTGCCTTTGGGACACCAGTCATTCAATCATCATCCTCCATAGTGTGGCTTGACTAGTTGGATAACCCACCCACTCACACTCCAGCATTTTAGCTAAGATTTAATTAATTTTATAGCATAAGTTAAAATAAAAAGAAGTTTAACGAAAAGCTCTTGATACTGTTCACTTTAACGAAATATCACATTTTTACACTAAAAAATCAATTTTAGTAGTATTCATTTTACCCTTTATTTTATCTTTATCATTAAAGCTCAAAGTTTTCAAATCATTTTCATTGGTTTGCTTTAAAATAAATGATGTGCCAACCACTTCAGGTCACCCAACAGTTGAAGATGAGGTTTAGGTTTGTATTTCATATGGTACGTTCTAGGTTTAATTTTTAACTCTCTTGAATTACACTATAGTGATCAGAAAAGACTAAAATGCAGCATTTTCTCTAAAAAAATGAAGTGCCGTGACAAAGTCACTGATTGATATTTTTTATTTGTTTTTACAAATAAAATAAATAGATGGCGTGTCACCTAGTCACACATATCTAGTACTAATAAGGAAGGTATTTGGCGTTTGGTCTGAAACACTTGTAAAACGTCACCTAATATTCTCCGCGACCCCAAATAATTGGACACCTAATGGTAATCTTAATCCCAACCAGGATAAGAAATTAAAGAACAGCAAGGTACGTTACCTACAATAATTACAGCCGCTGGTTGCCAGAATCTACAAAGAATCAGAAACAATAATTCTGGTGATTGCTATGCCACCTGGCAATCATGCATGCGAAGGTCTTCCAAGTGTCAGCGTTGAGGAAATGTTAGCAAAAATAAAGACAGGTAATCAATAATATCTCAACACATCAATTTAGTTACCCAAACAGTAAGCACGTATGTCATCAAAAGCCGAACTACCAATGCCCTCGTCTCAGGTTTCAGAAACCCAATTAATTTCTAGTTAGGAGGGATGACTTCCAATTTGAGTTGGAGACTTAAAACTCTTAACAAATGTGATCAGTTTTGTAAGCCCGATTATAATGTTACGTTTAATTTAATGGTATGAACTTTACGTCATATCTAATAATTGGTAAGTTTTATTAAATTTTTATATTCAGGATTTAACTATTAATTTTGGTCATGAGAAAAAAAATTGCATATTGCATGACAGTCGCAGCGAAATAAATTCAAATAGCGAATTACTTGATCCGACGAATGGATTTTTTAGGGGGGGGGGGGTTGAGAGCTCCAACTCAAGCACAAAATCAATGTTGAATTTACAATCCTCGAGGGGGGCAACATCAAGTGAGATCAAGACCAACACCTAAAAGTTGGAGAAAAGCCTTGTATAGGATTCCAAACCTGTGCTTCTTCAAATAGCCCATAAATAACTCCCCAACAACGCTACAAAAAGAAAGAGCATACGGGGCTCCCCGACCTGGCGGTGGTCCACTAGGTAAAGTGAGGAGTTGAGCTTGAACTGGCAAATTAAAGTCACTTTTGAAATCATACTTTCTACATCTAACACGTATCCATTTCAACAAAAACGTACAATGCAAACAAACGTGAACGGCTATACCAAATCCCCTGCTTACTGCCTTTAGTTTAGCATTCACTTTGGTGCTCTAATGATTAGTGATCGAAACACTATACAACAAAGCATCCGTGAATCGAAACGCCATATAAACGAAAACCTGTTTTATATAAATTGCTCAGATGTAAAGAAAATAGAAAAGTCAACTCGGCAAGTGACAACTCATTCGTGCTGGAGTCTAGCGAGGGAATGAAGAGCATTAGTAATGTCCACGAAACATCCTCTTAAGGTCACGCGTCGACCTAAAAATAGTCACGTGTCCGTCAAGCGATAATTGCCCAATCCATCTTCTCATTTGGCGTGTGCTCAACAGTGTACTGTAAACGCTCCTGTGAACACACACGTGACACGTGTCGATGACCGAACAACTTTTACCGTAGCCACCGGTAACCGGTCTCGCCCGTCACCCCGTCCCTTTAAATACCGGTTCAAACCCAACTAACTCAATTTTAGCTGATCCAGCGAAACAGAAAAAACCGAACTACAAGAAAATTTTCCAGAAACCGCGAGAAAATAACAAAAAATTTATCCGATTCTCCTCGTCGTCGTTGTCGTTGGTTGTCGAAGTTTTGTTCGAGTTTGACAACGTTGTGGATCGTAATATTGTCTGGGGGTGTTTGTTTGCGTGGCATGATTTGATAGAAAATGGTGGCAGAAGCTAAGGTTGTGTGCCAGCAGAGCGTGCCGGTGCTGGATGTTGAGTACTTTGCCAAAAATGTTCACGAGGTTGAAGATGTAGTTGCAGTTACCCCATCGATTTCGTCGCCCAAAAGTTTTGACCTGAATCGTGCTTCGGAACCCGTCTCCGCCGCCGCCCTCTTGAGCTCCCAAGCCGTGAGTTTTCCAATCCTCAAGTTCCCTGCTTTTGGATTATTTAATCTTGTAGTTGTTAAATTCCATGTGGGTTTTTTGTTTTTAGGTGATCATGCATCTGGGTTTTGAGATTTGATGATTTGTGTGTTGTGTTTATTTGGGTTTCTGACTTTTCGAAATTGGGGTTTTTAGCTTACTGAGCAGCTGAATTTTGTTGGGAATTCTGTTACCAGATATACCTTTTTGGTAAAATTAGAATAGCTAATGTGAAATTTTTGTTCTTGGTAGATAACTAATCTAATTAAATTTTTATTGATGTGAATTATCTTGTTAAATCTATTAAAATGAATTTAGCTTCAGCATTCAATCTTTCGGCTATAAATAAAACATTTGGATTGGCATTAGTTGGGTTTTGATGTAGATGAAATTGCAGTCAATTTCGAGTCTAATAAGGCGGGATTTTTGGTAGCATTTATGTGATGATATTATCAATGCTTAATTATAATTATGACTTATGAGCTATAACTATGATATCATCAATGCTTAATTATAATTGTGAGCATTTATGTCGTATGCCTTGAACTATGCTTGAGGGCATAATCATAGTAGTTTTTGTGTTGCAGTGGAAAATCTTGGCATTTAATTTCTCTTTCCTTACTCCCTTTTTCAGGATGTTAAACCTGTGGATAAAATTCCAGATTTGGTTCCTGCCTCGGCCGACCAGCAATTCTTCCCCAGGCTGCGTTCTGGTAGTTTTGCTGACATTGGACCCCGTAGATACATGGAAGATGAACATCTTCTAATAGATGATCTATCTTCACACTTGGGATCGCTCTCTAATTTTCCCAAGCCAAATGCATTTTATGGGGTAATTTATTGCTTTGGACTTGTAACTGCGATGACCTTGAATTTGGTTGATTCTTTGCTTGGAGCTTACTGTGGTTGAAAATTTCATATAGGTATTTGATGGACATGGAGGACCCGAAGCAGCAGCTTATGTCCGGCAAAATGTGCTCAGACTCTTTTTTGAAGGTGCCAATTTTCCCCGAACTTCTGACGGTGATGAAATGTTCTCAGAGGAGCTTGAGAACTCCCTCCGCAAGGCATTTCATCTGGTTGACCTTGCTTTGGCTGATGACTGCAGTGTAAGCAGTTCTTCGGGGACAACAGCATTAACTGCTATGATATTTGGAAGGTATATTTCTGCCTTAAAATCATTTTCCACTCTTTCCGTTGTGTCAAAGAAACTGTTTCCTTGTAGTGGACTTTATTTCCAATATTTACTATTGAAACTAGTATTTTCTTCTATCCACAAAATCATGTGGCGATGTTTGACCCTTTTGAAACCAGTAGTTCTTGCATGATTGGTCAATCTGTTATATAGATTTAAGATACCCCAAGTGAGAGATTTATCTTTTATTCTTTCTTCATTGTAATTGACATTGTCATCTTCTTCTCCAGGCTTTTAATGGTGGCCAATGCTGGGGATTGCCGAGCAGTACTCTGTCGGAAAGGAGAAGCAATCGATATGTCTCAAGACCACAGGCCAATATATCCCTCAGAAAGGAGGCGGGTTGAAGAATTAGGTGGATATGTTGATGATGTGTATCTGAATGGTGTCTTATCTGTTACCCGAGCATTAGGCGACTGGGACATGAAGTTTCCTCGTGGATCTTCGTCACCCCTTATTGCCGAGCCAGAGTTTCGGCAGGTGGTTTTAACAGAGGATGATGAGTTTCTAATTATAGGGTGTGACGGGATTTGGGATGTGATGTCTAGTCAGCATGCTGTTAGCCTTGTTCGCCGTGGGCTGAGGCGGCATGATGACCCTGACCAGTGTGCCAGGGACCTTGTCATGGAGGCTGTTCGCCTCAAAACGTTTGATAACCTCACTGTTATCGTTGTATGCTTCTCCCCCCTTGATCACCGGGATCCATCACCACAGCGAGAACGGAGATTAAGGGGCTGCAGCCTCTCTGCTGAGGCCCTTTGTAGTTTGAGGGCCTTGCTGGACAGCAGTGCCAGCGGCTGATTGTACGTGCAATTTTTCAATAAAGGTCTTCCTTTGACTGCTACAGTCGCGAGATAAAAGCGCAGCTAGCAGTTTTGTAGGTGTTTGGGTTCTCGTGTATACGTCTGTGAGCTCAGGATTGATGTACATACATAAGAAAGGGCATGTGGTTCGGAATCGGATGGCGTAGTGTTGTAAAATGATGTATGTTGATACATTCATTCTTTTAGTTAGTCCAGAGTGATTGTATTGTCCATCCGATGAAGTCCATTTCTAATCCGGTCATGTGTATTTATGTATACTATCGGGATCATTTTCTATTAACTCTTTCTTTTCTTACATATGCTTTTCCCTTTTGGCACTTGGCAATCGACAAACACTAATCCGGACTACTGTTGTATGGGCAGTGGACGGTCAAGATTGATATGTGGAAATGAAATTTTTTGTTTTTTTTTACTTGTCAATGTAATTGATAAAATGTCGGACATCTAGTAGTCCCCAGTAGTCTGAAGACAAACTCATTAAGCAATTACGTTTCCGTTATTTTGAAATGGGACAAGTATATTATGGAGAGTAGCCTTACTTATAAGTTTATGCAAATTCCTTTCTCTCAGCAATGCGAACGTTCATTCTCAACATGAACCCTGACGCGCTTGGGCGCTTGGTAATTTGATTGAGATGACAAAATATTTTCAATATTAGGATTGGCGCAATGACACAGTGTGTGTGTGCGCGCGCGCGCGCGTGTGTGTGTGTGTGAGAGAGAGAGAGAGAGAGAGAGAGAGTCGTGGGAGCACAGTAGTATTTGATTGATTAACAATTCAAGCAAAAAGTTGGTGTAATATGGATAATTTCTTCATTCTTTTTCTCTGGGAAGTAATTTACAAACAGGGAAAAGCCAGCCTCACAGAAGCTGATCATTGGACCCAAATGGTATACCAAACAATCTCTGTTGTGCTCACTTTCTTGCTTCAGTGGCAAAATCACTCGGTAAGTTTAAGTGGTTATCCATTTCAAATATCAAACTGGTGAGTCTGCTTTGTAGGTTCTTGCAAACATTTCAAACCTTTCCAAGCCACGTCCAAGTAAATTTTCGAGAAATGGTTGAAGCGCCTGCAGGATTCAGGTCAGAATCAAAATACTGATGGATTATTTCATCCCCACCGTAAAGTAAACAACATTCGTTATGTTTCTTTAAGTAAAGCAATCGAAAAACATCTGTTCGTATTTTAACTGATTTGGATCTGTACAGGGTGTCCAGACCGGAGAATGTATAATATCTAAACCACACAGTTAGAATACTTACCGATGCTACTGGAGACAGAATCGGCGGAACTTCATATGACACCGTTAGCTGGGATTGAAAATTGATAAGAGCAATATGAGCAACACTGAAAAATGAGAAGCAAAAATGGCCCTTTCCCTGGATATGAGAAGCTTAGAACGGGAAACCCCGTCAATGGGAATTATTTTACATTTTACGAATCTAATTACTGTGCGCTTAGGCCGTTCAATTGATGGCCAAGGAATGATCAAAGGTTGTAAAATAATTAAATTGACAACGAATGATCACCCCTTACGCGAGGCATCAATTGAATGGCTTGATCAGACCAAGTGCGTAAAGATGTATAACACTACAAAATAAGAATTGCAAACATCCATATTCAATATATGACAGAAGAGCCTCACTTCTACTAAGCATGATGAAGGACCTTTTGGATAGAACCGAACAGCACCTCTGCGGATACAATAAGTAACACAGTTTATCAAGATTTCGATATCAACATAAAACAAAGGAAATGGTGTCTACTTCATTTTCACACAGCATACTACTGTATTGGAAGAAGCATATTGAATTTTCTGATTTGAATTGTAATACATTTCATATCATAGAAAGCCTTATGGGAAGGCATACTTATACACAATACAAAGAAAGCTGAAAGCTTTACACCCTACACACTTGTAATTGGATGCAACAACACACATTCCCTGCTGTCCATGTACAAAGAAAGCTGAAAGCTTTACACCCTTGTAATCGGATGCAACAGCACACATGCACATTCCTTCCTGCTGTCCATGAGTCAGCAATCACATGCACATTCCTTTCCAGAGTGCACACCCTTGCTGTCTTTCCTTTACCCATGCTTGCCGTGCTGTATGCTTGCTGTGATGTCTGTACATACACCTTGCCGTGCTGTATGCTTCTTCCAATACTCCCTCTCAAGCTGGATCCAGTAGGTTGATGGATCCAAGCTTGGAGAGGAGTCTTTGAAACTGATGAGAAGCCAGAGGTTTGGTGAATATATCAGCCAGCTGATCGAAGCTTTTTACATAATGTGTCTGAATCACCTGCGACTGTACTTGTTCACGGACATAGTGACAGTCGACTTCAATATGCTTCGTCCTTTCGTGAAAGACGGGGTTTGATGCTATGTGCATGGCAGCCTGGTTGTCACAAAATAAGGTCATTGGTTGAGCTGTGAACACACCTAAGTCACATAAAAGTCCTTTTAGCCATATCAGCTCACACGCGGTTGAGGCCATTGCACGATATTCAGCTTCGGCACTTGATCTTGCGATGACAGTTTGTTTCTTGCTCTTCCACGTGACCAGGTTTCCACCAACAAAGGTACAATAACCAGTGGTGAACTTGCGATCGATTGCGTTTCCTGCCCAATCAGCATCACAGTACCCCATGATTTGAGTGTTGTCATTCTTTGCCATGAGGATGCCACGACCAACAGACCCTTTTAAGTAACGTAAGATTCTTTTGACAAGGTTCAGATGCTCGATGGTGGGAGAGTGCATGAACTGACTGGCAATACTTACTGAATGTGGGATGTCTGGTCTGGTGATCGTTAGGTAGATCAGCTTGCCGACAAGCCTCTGATATAAGCTGATATCCGAGAGTGGCGTGCCTCCCAAGTCAAGCTTGAGCTTGCTATCAAGAGGGGTAAGTGCAGGCTTGGCATCTTTAAGTAGGTCCATGACGTACTTTCGTTGATTAAGAAATAGTCCCTTGTAAGAAGATGCCATTTCGATTCCAAGAAAATACTTCAACACCCCCAGATCTTTAACCGCAAATTGTTGTTGAAGTGACTGTTTGAGTGTGGTGATTTCAGCAGCATTATCACCTGTAATTATTAAGTCATCCACATATATCAACACAACTAATTTGCTTGCAGCTCTTGTGCGAACAAATAATGATGAATCTGCATTACTCCTTTTGAAACCAATGCTATGAAGAACGGTACTTAGTTTTGCATACCAAGCACGTGGTGATTGCTTCAGTCCATAAATTGACTTATGTAACTTACACACCAAATTAGGCTCTTGGCTTTGAGGGTGTCCTGGTGGCAATCTCATATAGACTTCTTCTTCAAGATCACCATGTAGAAAGGCGTTCTTCACGTCCATTTGATACATAGACCAACCTTTATTGACGGCAACAGACAATAGAACCCTTACTGAGTTCATTTTTGCAATAGGAGCAAATGTTTCCTTGTAATCCACCTCAAATGTTTGAGTGAATCCTCGAGCCACCAGCCTGGCTTTATGCCTCTCAATCGAACCATCAGAATTAAACTTGATCTTATAGATCCACTTACAGCCCACTGCCTTTTTTCCTTGTGGAAGTTTGGTGATGCTCCAGGTTTTGTGTTGGTCTAGTGCCTTGAAGGAGTTTGAAGTTGTATGCTCAAGCATGACACCCATTAATGTTGATGGGAATATTTTGAAGATGAAAGCTTTTCCATTCTCTCTTGTGGAAAAGGGTAGACCAACACAAAACCTGGAGCATCACCAAACTTCCACAAGGAAAAAAGGCAGTGGGCTGTAAGTGGATCTATAAGATCAAGTTTAATTCTGATGGTTCGATTGAGAGGCATAAAGCCAGGCTGGTGGCTCGAGGATTCACTCAAACATTTGAGGTGGATTACAAGGAAACATTTGCTCCTATTGCAAAAATGAACTCAGTAAGGGTTCTATTGTCTGTTGCCGTCAATAAAGGTTGGTCTATGTATCAAATGGACGTGAAGAACGCCTTTCTACATGGTGATCTTGAAGAAGAAGTCTATATGAGATTGCCACCAGGACACCCTCAAAGCCAAGAGCCTAATTTGGTGTGTAAGTTACATAAGTCAATTTATGGACTGAAGCAATCACCACGTGCTTGGTATGCAAAACAAAGTACCGTTCTTCATAGCATTGGTTTCAAAAGGAGTAATGCAGATTCATCATTATTTGTTCGCACAAGAGCTGCAAGCAAATTAGTTGTGTTGATATATGTGGATGACTTAATAATTACAGGTGATAATGCTGCTGAAATCACCACACTCAAACAGTCACTTCAACAACAATTTGCGGTTAAAGATCTTGGGGTGTTGAAGTATTTTCTTGGAATCGAAATGGCATCTTCTTACAAGGGACTATTTCTTAATCAACGAAAGTACGTCATGGACCTACTTAAAGATGCCAATATGAGTGATGCCAAGCCTGCACTTACCCCTCTTGATAGCAAGCTCAAGCTTGACTTGGGAGGCACGCCACTCTCGGATATCAGCTTATATCAGAGGCTTGTCGGCAAGCTGATCTACCTAACGATCACCAGACCAGACATCTCACATTCAGTAAGTATTGCCAGTCAGTTCATGCACTCTCCCACCATCGAGCATCTGAACCTTGTCAAAAGAATCTTACGTTACTTAAAAGGGTCTGTTGGTCGTGGCATCCTCATGGCAAAGAATGACAACACTCAAATCATGGGGTACTGTGATGCTGATTGGGCAGGAAACGCAATCGATCGCAAGTTCATCACTGGTTATTGTACCTTTGTTGGTGGAAACCTGGTCACGTGGAAGAGCAAGAAACAAACTGTCATCGCAAGATCAAGTGCCGAAGCTGAATATCGTGCAATGGCCTCAACCGCGTGTGAGCTGATATGGCTAAAAGGACTTTTATGTGACTTAGGTGTGTTCACAGCTCAACCAATGACCTTATTTTGTGACAACCAGGCTGCCATGCACATAGCATCAAACCCCGTCTTTCACGAGAGGACGAAGCATATTGAAGTCGACTGTCACTATGTCCGTGAACAAGTACAGTCGCAGGTGATTCAGACACATTATGTAAAAAGCTTCGATCAGCTGGCTGATATATTCACCAAACCTTTGGCTTCTCATCAGTTTCAAAGACTCCTCTCCAAGCTTGGATCCATCAACCTATTGGATCCAGCTTGAGAGGGAGTATTGGAAGAAGCATACAGCACGGCAAGGTGTATGTACAGACAGCACAGCAAGCATACAGCACGGCAAGCATGGGTAAAGGAAAGACAGCAAGGGTGTGCACTCTGGAAAGGAATGTGCATGTGATTGTTGACTCATGGACAGCAGGGAAAGGAATGTGCATGTGCATGTGTGCTGTTGCATTCGATTACAAGGGTGTAAAGCTTTCAGCTTTCTTTGTACATGGACATCAGGGAAAGGAATGTGCATGTGCATGTGTGCTGTTGCATCCGATTACAAGTGTGTAGGGTGTAAAGCTTTCAACTTTCTTTGTATTGTGTATAAGTATGCCTTCTCATAAGGCTTTCTATGATATGAAATGTATTACAATTCAAATCAGAAAATTCAATACACTGTAATATTAAAATTCACCTGTTCAACATTATATCTTCCTATTTTGTAACCGCAATAACATTAGCATCGTTTTGTTTGTGATACACTAAACAGTGACTTCAAGAAAATTCAAAACAAGATAAATCGAACATTTTACACTCTTGTCAAGTACTCATCTCCATCCTATGAAATCCACAATATAGATCTCAAATTTTAAACTTATCCAAAGGTAACAAGTAGAATAGTGAGCATCACCATCACTTGAGGGTTGTAAGCAAAAATATTCCCTTCAACTTCCACTTAAGGTGACGAATGGTGAACCTAAGATCCCGTCCTTAAGTTTGTGCTAGGGAATGAACCACTAAGCTTCTAGTTTACTATGTACCCACAGATAAACCAGATACATGACTAAAATTTTCTGTGCCTTAGTTTTTACTTGTCAAGTTAACATACTTTCCTCGATATATCTTAATCAAATGACTAAAGGAAATTATGGGTATTTTGTAATATAAGCTCTAAGAACACATTCATAATTTGAGCAAAAGCGTTACTAAGGTATACAGTTTCTGCTAAAATTTCTTGCTTTCTGACCTGTTAGGAAGACCTTCCAAAGATCTCCAGTGGATTTTCTGATTTGGTGTAGGCTGCATGAAGTTTTGCACAACAGTGAGAAAGGGTTCATTGTAAGGACACATCATTGAACTCAGCTCTTACATTATATGGAGGAATTATGGAAGGCAAAATAAATTTTAAGTAAACGTGATTCTTATGGTCTTACGGTCTTACCTGCATATTCCGAGCAAGCCATGATAATTCAATATCACGACCAAAAGCTTTATACTTCAGTGACCATCGCGATAAGTCAGGTTTGTCTTCCAATATCTGTTTTTAAAGCATATCAAATATCAATCTTTCAAAATGTGATAAAAAAAATCAAGCATCAATCTTCGAAAAACGAAAAAACTGAATCTATAATCAGCCAAGTTGAAATCATATCAGCCATAACATTTAAAATCTAGGCTGCAAAACACAGTATTCAGTTGCTACAAGTATTAATACAAGCGATTATGTCTCCGGTATCAATGGAAAGAAACATCAAATTTGCTTCAAATATAATCATGGATCATCCAAAGTGCATCAGGAAAGTTGTTTAGCACCTTCACGGTTGAAATAAATGGCATCCAACGGGGAATCGCCTCACGGTCAGAGTAACAATCATAGGCAACTGAAATAGGCACATCAATTTCCAGCTTTACTCTGCAATCGATCACATTGCCTAGTAATTAGTGGCAGTAAACGTTCGGATTAACAGCCCAAATTTAGATCACAAACCGCTAGAGCTCACTCCAAGAACTCATTCACATTCTTCATGGTTTTACATTGTACTATGTAACTATTCCGAGAAAAGAAACAGTTTCAGTACGTACCGAATCAGCAACTATTTGCTTATGCAGCACCCTAGCACGGGCTTATAACTCAGTTGGTTAAGAGCATTTATCCCGAGATCCAAGATGCTAGGTTCGATTTCCCCTCCCCACTATCGCTTGTATAAGACAAACAAATAACTAGTTGCTATTGTGTATTCTTAAGTACCAAATCAAGTACTTACTGATAGCCAATATAATTCAAATTGGTGGGCAAGAAAAACAGAGGAATGAAAATAAATAAATAACTGAAAATCTAGGAACGTACGTGCAGTCCTGCCATTGCATAACGACGGGGGACGTACTTCTGAATCCTGTGAGGACGGAGCTCCGCCTGAAAGACCCACATGGGATCTTGAAGGAGAAGTCACAGAGAGAAGATGGCGGCGGCGGTCTGAGAGAAGGGCTTCTCCAGATGGGTATGCCGGTGAGACTGCCGGGCCAGTTGGGCCTGGAAATGTAGGCTGATGCTACAGCAGTTGCAGAAGTACAAGACATGGTCAAACAAACTCAATAGTTAACGTGTTTTTGGTCGGAAAAAAATAATAAAAACGAGATTTATAAAAGCAGAAACAGCAGCAAAACCGAAGAACAACTAACGAGTTACGCGAGTCAACGCGAGTCAACTCAGAAGACTGAAGACCACAAAATCACGATGACGGAGCCACCTCACCTGTCCGAGCTGCCCACCTCTCTTCTCTGGGTTTGTTGTTGCCACGGGATTCCAATTAGATATGGGCCTGTTTCATTCCAGAAAAAAGGCTTGGCTCGAAAAACCTTACTATGACCCGACAACATATAAATCCCCTTGGCCAATGAGACTATGAGAGTAGTCAATGATAGTGTGTTGGAAGTGCTTTTAAAATGATTGAAAATATTTTTGATGAAAGTGCTTTTGGAACCAGTCTTTAGTAAAAATACAAGTGATTCTTAAAAAATCACTTGAAATGTTTCCTGCAAGAAGCACATAAATATTTCTTTTGAAATGCACTTCTTTAACAAATTTTTTTTTAATCATTTTAAATGCACTTCTATACCAGTCCGACATTGACTTGAAAGTAAAAATGTAGCGTAATGTAGTTGAATTATCTATCCTACTAAAGTAATGTCCTTAATTACAAGGCTACAAATGTATGTTCAAGTTAGTCAAATAATATATTTCAAATTTCCTAAGAAGTGAATGTTTTCTTCTTTTATAATTAACCGTTGGGCTTATTTGTGTTTAATGAATTTACGATTAGCAATGTCGAGCAAATACTTTGGTTTTTCAACTTTTAATTAAGTTCTCTTTGATCTCTTCTATAACAATTTTTTTGACTAAATACTTTGGTTTTTCAACTTTTAATTAAGGTGTTTTGACTTGGCGCCACATCGTGTAATTCAATTCGAGTTACATATTGATTTTCATATTTGCCTTTTCATTTCGCAGAGCTTTTTTCTAGGCATTGAGGAATTGTGACTTTTTTTATATATAAAGTTTTATCCCATTTTTCAAGTTTTGGAAGGTTGGCTCATCATTTCCAATAGGCAAATAAAAATAAATAAATAAAAGAAAATCATTCTTTCTAAAAATTATAAAATATACGAGTAGAGAGAACAAGATAGAAATTGGGAGAAAATCGACGTAGGATTGCACGTAAGCTCCTACATTTCCAAATTTGATCGTGGGTATTACTGTTAGATGCGTTTAAACCCGAATAATTATTTAATATCATCGCATCTTATGTAACGTTTCGGTTTGATTATAAATAGGCCGAAGACTCTACCTACTGATAAACTCTCTTGCAGGAATAATGCCCCTGAGAAAAGTAAACCAATAGATTCAATTGTTGTCATCATTGAGTTTGGAGTGGTCAGACATCCATCTTCAAAGAATTGAAATTTAGAACTTGTACGAAAGGTTATAAGTAGTGAATGACAATTGTGTTTTGTATTCTTGTAAACCTTGTTTTGAATTTTTTGGTTTAAGATGAGTATAAAAAAAATTTGAACGTTAGGCTTACGATATTTGAGCTGAAACTTTATGATATATGAATCATGTTTGTATCATATATGATTGACCTTAAAATCACCGAGTATCGATCACTTGTAATTAAGGCACCATAAATTTATTGTAGCATCTTCATTGAGGCACTCTTACCGAAGCACACGAACCAATTTCAAATAAGCAGCAACCACTTATTGGCTATCATTTAACCGGTGAGAGATTCCCTCTTACTCAGAGACCAATCACGACAGGACAAGTGGCAACGCCATAGTAAGCGTAATCAATCCCACATTGACCAACTCGACAAAGTTCCTTCTACTTCACCTCTATAAGGGGGTAACTTTTAGTCCCCTTTAAAAGTAATTGTTAATTACTAATCATCACTAAACACGCCCATGTGACACCCTAAACATACTTTGCTAAGTAATGAAGGTTTTTCGGCTGGTACTACAACGAAGCTCTTCAATACTATCTTTTCCTTGCAAATCACCTAGTCATTCTACCCTTGAATGAAGTTCCCCTGCAGAGGTACACCGTATGATGATCTGATTTTCGTGCACATCAACAAATAATAACTTCGTGCAATCTAAATATGAATCTTGCCATTTAATATTATATTTTAGTAATATTCTTTTTCATTTGTAAGTGATAATTCTTAAATTCGAATATCGTGGATAACAGGTTTAATTCTTTTACCCCGTTCCTCTAGAAGAATAACATGTTGCTCTGGTTATATGGTCAACTACGATAATGCTTGAAGTGATTTGAAGCATCTAATCCCTTTAAGAGAATTAACTGAATTAACTGAGATGACTTTTTTTTTTTTTGCTGCGCTAAGATGGAGATCACCTTGTATGTCATGGATGGCGTTGCGTTGTAGCTTTTTCTTTTAAATATTATTTTTGGGTAATGTATTAAACAAATGAGGGGTGTAGCATCGTAGGAGGGAACCTTGGACTCATTTATGCGTGCAAATCATTTTTCATGGAAATGCCATGACCCTCTGAGACAGAGACACCGCTTTTAGTTTTGACCAAAAGTTCCAACAAAGTAATGTAGCTTTTACACGTACTCTTGATTCTTAGTTATATACTTGCATGCTTTTCTTTGGTTAAATTCCACTTCATCCATTACAAAGTATTTTTCTAATCAAACTTTTGACTGCGTTTTTTCTTTCTGTTTTTAATTTTATGTGGAATAATTCCATTATCTTTGTGTTTATATCAGGTAGTGCTTTGAAAGGTAAATAAGAATCTGTGCTGGTCCTTGTTGGCCTTTCTTCCTTCCTTCTAGTCTGCATTGAGGGATCCGTAGGCAACAAAGAATAAGTTTAGTAGCTTTCTTGTCATGTCCAGTGTAAGGAATAATAATCCTAGGTGGTACGTGCTCTCTTCTCATAAGAAGAAATATAGGAATGCTCTCTATTAAAGTGCCCTGACTGGTTAATCAATTAATTAGAAATCAAGAACGTATGCCGAGGCTTATGTAGTTGATCTGTATAATTAACTGTTGGATAAAACTAATAAGGCTATTTCACTTGTAACATATAGAAATATACAATATGAATTAGGGCCAAAATGTAAGCCGAATCCATACAATTGCACATGTGGAGTAATTTATGTAAATATTTTTTCACTTGTTTTTTAACCCTCGATTCTCCTTTTATATTTCAATTAAATAGGTAGAAAAAAATAGGGATCATATGCATGAGAAGAAAAAGCGTGTGTAGAAATTATTTTTCTGTACACACATACTTAAATATATAATTTTTTTTATATGCATAGATACTTAAAAAGCCATACGTCAATCTCACACCACACACACACACACACACACTATATATATATATATATATATGTATATATTATATAGACACACTATATACGTGAAAGTAGTTGTTTTTGGCACTTTAAAAATGTCATCATGTGCTTGCACTATTATTTATACAAGTACTCTATTATTTTTATAAAGTTGAAGTGCATGATGATTTTTTTGGTGTGTTGTTAACAATTCTCTAAGTGAAAGGGTAATGCTATGGAGATTAAATTTGTAGACTAATTTGCAAACTAAATGATGTGTTATTGATAAAAAATAAACATGTTAATCAATAGTTAAGTTGTCACGCCCCAGACCCGGAGTTAGTGGGACCCCACGCCCGGTGCGTGAGTAAAAGTAAAAGTAAAAACGTAAAACATAAAACAAAGGTTCTCTTATACAAGTAATTATTACAGAATCCTTACAGAGAGTACAAAAATAAGAAAACTCTTAAATCTCTTCTCTAACACAATCTTAGCTCGTCTAGCACCTGCCTTGTCAAATAACTTATCTGTAAAATAAAAGGGTGAGGGGTGAGCAACAACCATCGTCACTCAATGAGTATAATATGTAATATGTCAGTCAAGCGATGCCATTTTAGTTACTATGGAAAATACAATAATATTATCAAATCAATATGCACGTAGTGCCATATCACATCATCCCTTTACATGTTCATTATATCCTTCATAATAGTAACTCACCACATGACTCCTATTGGCCATTATGCCCTAATGTCCCCGTGTGCAGTTCACATTTATACCTCGAATTAATGCAACACTAAAGTTCTCATGCTCTATGAACAATTATAATATCCACATATCACTATATTAATCATTCCAAAACCTTTCCACAGATCCAACATGCTTCACTTGAAATAGAGATATTTGAAAATAAGTATAATTTGCAACACATTACATCAACCACTCACTTTGATATTCTGAGCTTTGACAAGATAACCCTACTAAAAATCTTGACACACCAAACCCCTAATTTTAACGGATATCCCTGGATGAACACTAACTAAATGGAGTAGCAGCTCCTTCTATTTTGGACCACTTCTTTGTTGACACCTTACTTCCACTCACAACTTTTATTATATTTTTACTCTCTTTTCCACTCTTCCATGTCTCCCACCTTCTCAGCCTCTCTCTCTCTCTTCTCTCTCTCTCTCTCTCTCTCTCTCTCTCTCTCGCTCTCTCTCTCGCTCTCTATTTTATATCTCTCTTTCCCTCAAAACTCTTTCATTTCATCCGCACGCATAGAGAGCAACGATACCATTCTGTCACGCCTCGACCCCGAAGTCGGTGGGACCCCACGACCGGTGCGCGAGTAAAAGTAAAAGTAAAAACTAAATATGTAAAACAAAGGTTCTCTTACACAAGTAATTTTACAGAATCTTTACAAAGAGTACAAAAATAAGAAAAACTCTTAAATCCCTTGTTTAACACAATCTCACCTCGTCAAGCATGAAAAATGTGTTAGCTTTTTCTAAATAGTAGGTGACCTAGTCGACTTATCGACCTTTTAGAGGAACATTTTGGTGACCACCTCTAAATTTTAAACGAAAAATCTTCTTGCCAAGGAAAAATACCGATTTGAGTCGAGTTGATGGCCCTGAAGCAGGGTAATGTAACGATTACACAAAAGTTTTACCAATCAATCTCACTACCATTTAGTCATTTCTACCAACCATTCCAAGTTAGGTGCTAGCCTGTCGTACAGGTCGCATTAGGCGATTCCGACTCGTAGATGACCCACGCATAGTGCTAGCCTTCATGTGATCATAGCA